TCTATTCTTCCCAAGTAATACAAACTGATCTATGAAAAATATAAGCAGTTATTGAACTATCATTAGCACTCCCTCAATCTTCTCATTTGTAGTATTTTCTTATCTTAATCTGCAGATGATGGAAATCATCATCTTTTAATATGATGACATTTGCATTTTGTTACCATTCTAGCTAGTATTTCTTTGCTGATACATGACATGAATAAAGTTTCATCTTTTGTGAATTTGAGCAGTATGATTAGCAATCTAATGTCATTTAACAGGTAGCAATTGCCAGAGGATTGAATGGAATAGGACTTGCAATAGTCATACCAGCCATCCAATCTCTTGTTGCTGATTCAACTGATGATGGCAACCGCGGTACAGCTTTTGGATGGTTAGCACTAACATCAAATTTTGGCTCAATTCTTGGTGGGATTTTGGCTGTGCTAATAGCAGAAACATCATTCATGGGAATCCCAGGTTGGAAAATCTCCTTCCATCTGGTTGGTTTTATAAGTGTAATCGTTGGTTTTTTAGTCCGTCTCTTTGCCAATGATCCGCGATTCCTTGACAAAGATGTCAATGCAAAAGATCAACTTGCACTGAAACCATTTCAAGAAGAAGTCATTGAACTGCTAAAAGAAGCGAAAGCAGTAATCAAAATACCTTCCTTCCAAATAATTATTGCACAAGGGGTTTCCGGGACATTCTCTTGGTCATCGTTGTCGTTTGTTACTATGTGGTTAGAGCTTATAGGCTTTTCCCATAAGACAACAGCTCTACTCTGGACTTTGTTTCAAGTTTCCTTGTCGCTTGGCGCGTTGTTTGGGGGGCGCATGGGGGATGTATTGGCCAACCACTTTCCAAATTCTGGTAGAATTCTTCTAGCTCAGATTAGCTCTGGCTCAGGAATTCCTTTAGCTGCAATTCTACTGTTGCTATTGCCTAATGATCCTAAAACAGCTTTGTTGCATGGTTTAGTCTTGATCATCATGGGATTAATCATATCATGGTGTGGTTCAGCAACAAACAAGTATGTCTCCTCGGATCCAATATATTATTTACTACCATGTGACCAGGAGGTCACGGGTTCAAGGCGTGGAAACAGCCTCTTGCAGAAATGCAGGGTAAGGCTGCGTGCAATAGACCCTTGTGGTCCGGTCCTTCCTCGGACCCTGCGCATAACTGGAGCTTAGTGCACCTGGCTGCCCTTCAGAATAGTTTGAGATTTTTTCTGTTTGTTTTACTCTCTTGTCATGTTTTCTGTAGTCCAATATTTGCTGAGATAGTCCCTGAGAGAGCTCGGACAAGCATTTACGCTCTGGATCGATCTTTTGAGACAATAATAGCATCCTTTGCTCCTCTGGTGGTTGGTACTTTAGCTCAACAAGTTTTTGGTTATAAACCAATTCCAAAAGGATCAACAGACTCTCAAGAAATTGAAACAGAGAGACAAAATGCTGCCTCACTTGCCAAGGCACTCTACTCAGCAATAGGCATTCCATCGGCCATTTGTTGCTTCATATATTCCTTCCTCTATTGCACATATCAACAAGATAGGAATCGTGCCCGGTTGCAACAGATTGATGAAACAAGCAATTTTCCATCTGAAGAACAACAAGCCTTATTACTTGAGAGCGATGAGCATAGACCTCTTTCAGCAATTTGTTGAAATCCTCGGACAAAATTTTAGACTGTCTGTACATAGAATCCAACAAACAGAAATTCACTTCTCGCTGTGTTGTTTGTATAAAAAGGACAGCCCGGTGCACGAAGCATCCCATATTCATGCAGGATCCGAGGAAGGGTCGCACCCCTACAGGTGTGATGTAGACAACCTACCCTAATAAAAGTATTAGTGGCTGCTTCCATGGCTCGAACGTGTAACATATAAGTCACACGGAGACAACTGTACCGTTGCAAAAAATTTCTAAGGTGTATTTATTTATTATTTTCAAATGGAGTTTGTAAAGATTATATCAGTTTGTAATATATTATAGTAGTAACTGGTGCAAAAAATTCTAGTTCACGGTGTAAATTTATCTTAAGCTAGTTGTTTGTACCAAGGAAGAGGCAAAATATCAAAAGACTATGATTATTAATGATATACTAGCTTGATCACACAAATTTTTGCCTGGAAACAATAAGAGCAAACAACAATATAAATACATCACCTAAAATAGTGAAGGTTGACAAATCACAAATGGAGTTTTGCCTGGAAATAATAAGAGCAAACAACAATATAAATACATCACCTAAAATAGTGAAGGTTGACAAATCACAAATGGAGTTTTGCCTGGAAATAATAAGAGCAAACAACAATAAAAATACATCACCTACAACAGTGAATGTTGACAAATCACAAATGGAGTTTTGCCTGGAAATAATAAGCTAGGAAGAGACTTAAATAACTTGAAGATCTAAGCCAGTGCCTTCAAATTTTTCGCGTGTAATTTGATCAAGACGTTCTTGCATCTCTTTTGTGAGGGATTTTTTCCCGTCCCCAACAAGACCATTGCGGAAATAAGCAATTTTAGGAATGCCAAGACAAGGTTCCAAGCCATTCTTGTTAACCTGAAGATTCTTCAGCCTCTCCAAACTGCATCTCCAAAGGACATTATCAAGCTCCTCCTCGTTCACAAAAGGTCTGCCAAGAAACTCAGCCAACTTCTTCACTTGCCCTTTCGGATCTTTTTTCATCTCTTCATACCTCAAGAAAAGTATCTTCTCGGGTTTCTTCAAACTTTCATTCCAGTACTCTAAAACATGGTCATGAAAGGGGCCAAAAAGATGAATGCCTTTACAGAAACTGTCGAATTCTTCATCCATAGTTGGACAAGGCTCTGCATTGGATATCGAATTCATGAAGTGCCATAACGACACAAAAACATCTTTAGGTTCGCGGGTAATGTACACTAATTTGCAGCTGGAATTGTCATTCTTGATCGACTCTGGAAGCTTGGAATAAGGCAGGTGAGTCCGAAAGAGCCTAGGAGAAGGCATTTCGTCAACGTTTAGGACATCGGGATCTAGGTTATTTGGGTTGAATATTGATAGTTCAATAGATGGTATGAGTTGGTTTGGATGGTTTCTTAGTAAAGGGTCATCCTCCTCATGATCAATATTATCTCTGTTATGGGCCATGATGCAAGGGATAAGAGCTTTGAGCCAAGTAGTACCTGTCAAAGCCGAAGCCAGGTTTTGCAATAACGAGAGTCAAATTATAAAGGAGTAAACACATGGAAATACCAAGGGAATTCAACATATAGTATAGATACATATAGAGACACTTAAAGTTGTCATGATTTCATTTAGACACCTTAAGTAGGCCTTTTTCTGATTGAACCCCTGTAGTAGATCCAAAGTGTATTAATTAGACACAATTCACTGATATAGTTAATAGCGTGAGTTGCACCTGTAAAATGCTCGTGTTCATTGCCCTCTATGTCGTTCACCGGAGCTTCGATCATCGGCTCTGGTGTCATCAGGTCACCAACTTTCTTGACCTTCCGGCACTGGGCAGGTTCTGCCCCTATACATGGTCTTACGAATTTACAGAGACGGAGTCAAGATTCCAAGCTTATGGGTTCGAAATTCTAATCGATTTAAGTTAGTGAATTCTAAATTAATAATTTATATATGTTCAATGGATTTTTTAAGACAAATACAGAGTTCGAACCAAAGTACTGGATTCGGTCGAACCCGCTCTCAACTCTCTAGCTCTGCCCCTGCCTGTAAAATGCTCGTGTTCATTGTCCTCTCTGCCGTTCACCGAAGCTTCGATCATCGGCTCCGGTGTCATTAGGTCACCAACTTCCTTGACCTTCCGGTGCTGAGCTTGGTCTTACGAATTTGCATATACCTGTATTTTTGGTAAACAGTTGCCCGGTCTTACTGACATTTTCATCTCTTAATACTCTATTTTCACTAATTATGGTACATTTTTTAAGCAAACTACATTCAGGAACATCAAGCCAAAGAGTATTCTACACGGTACAACTCACTCGATCAACCATGTCAGCAAAAAAGTGTCTGATTTGTACACTTTGAACTTACTACAGGTGTTCAATCGAAACAAAACCTACTTAAAGTATCTTAATGAAAAATCATGGCAACTTTATGAACGAAGCAATGGTAGCTTACCTGTTTTCGTAGATGAAGTAAGAATAACATCATCATCCCGAGCCAAGAAACCAGATTGAGCTGCTATGGCTGCTTTTAAGAAGTCTATACGGTACCAATAGCCGTCCCACTGGTACCAAAAATTAATAGGTCCTCTGCATTTCTCCCTCGGAAGTCCATCTACAAATGTGGCGAATTCGTCTTCGCTCATAATAGTATCTAAATTGGAGCTTGCCATTATCACTGTTTAAAAGTTAAACTGCACTTTGTTTTGTGTTTTCCCAGGGGAAGCTGTTAGTAACCAAGATATATGTTGATTTGGATAAGGCTTGTCTGAAAACATATTTCACGTCTTTTTTTTTCATTTTAAATCACGTCTTCTTATCCTTTCTATTCCCTCTGCATACTTGGGGACAATTAGAGGGGACTAAGCAAAACTTTTCGTAAACGGTATTGTATTTATATAAATTAAGAAAATAAATAAGTAATTTATATCAGTTTTTGTATAAGGTGAAGTGTCTTGGCCCAATAGTTTAGTTGAATATTAAAAAAATTATAAATATTCTGAAAAACTTAAATATTATTGTAAAGGAAAGTGTAGGTTGAATTCTCCTTAGGCCTCAAATTTTCACAAAAATATTCGATCAAATCAGTGGACACCGAGTACACTTGGCTTGGCATATTTATTTTAATTTAAGTGGGTAAATTCCTAGAATCGGCCGACACTGAGTAATTGGCACCCTCCATCCGGGTTTGGATTTTCTCCGATACCAAATGCTCAAATATTGCTCAATAATCCATTGGATTAATGCCACGTGGCTACTTAAGATATTCATAGTCTAGATGCATTTGTTCTTTTGATGAAAAGTAGAAGAGAAAAAAATGAACTTATTATAGTGCTTTGGGAAACAAAAGGCCTGATCCAACAATACCTATAATTTAATTAGGTTTTTTTACGAGTTTGATTCTTTTTTAACTATTATTTAAACGAATAGCATCATTTATTATTTATTTCATAAAGAATATTTTTTTTATTATTAGCATATTATAAAAACTAAGCTCAACATTTAATAAATTAACTAACTCACTAATCACATGAAGTACTTTTTTTGTTCATCTCCATTCTTCCTTTTCAACACTCATTTTCTTCACTCTATTTTTGAAAATCTGATGCATATGTGAATGCCACATAAATTCAAGATGTATTGATTTATACGTCTTTTATACTTTGTATATCAAGTATCACTTTAATTCAAAATATATTTTTATGTATATAATTATTGTATATTTATTTGTGAAGTGCCATCTTATTTTAAGATATATTTTTAATGTATAGTTCAAATACATTTTATATGTCAAGTGTCATTTTAATTCAAGATGTATTTTATATATATACATATATATATATATATATATATATATATATATATATATATATATATATATAT